AAGAAAGAAAGAAAGAAAGAAAGAAAGAAAGAAAGAAAGAGAGTCCGTCTTCTTAGTTCATCTTCCATGGATTCTCAAGGAGTGGCCAATTACATCAGGGTCCATCATTAAAAATGCTTTGTGTTTCTTCTCCCTACCACCATGAAATTCAGTATGGAGATTGAGCACTCCCATTCTAAACTTTTCCATCCTAATAAACATGGCACTGCGGTCAAGCTTCTAATCACATGGTTTGGAAGACACATTTGCCTAAATAGAGCAACAACTGTCCTGCATAGTTCATTCCTGCACGAATCATGCCCTCCCTTCCCATTCCAACTGCTGAAAGGGTTAAATTTTCAGGGCTTTGGAACTTATTCAGTGTCCCATTGGGAACTCCTCTAGCAATGAGAAAGGCATCGTTGGTGTAAGAAAAGGGTTAATTATGGGTCCCAGCCTACAGTAATATATTCTCTGAATTATTCCCATTTCTAATGAGGCTTATCTTTTTTATTTACCCACAGCTATTAATTACCAAAATATTTTTCAATATTTATAAATTCAGGATAAGGAGATCCAAAAGAAAGAGTCTCCCTTAATGAGGCTTGCACTGTTATTTACCCAGCTATCAATTACATAAATGTTCAATTTGTAAGGCTATAAACGTACAAGTCTTGCATAACAAGAAAAGCAGATTAATTAATCTTTACTAAAAGTTTCTTACATGTTAGAAAGTCTTATTTATGCTACTAAAGTAAGCTTAAATTTATTTATGCAAAAATGTACTGATTATTAACATAGTGTTGATTTTCAATACTGCAGTGTTACTCCAAGTTGCTTTTTTTTTATTTTGCATGTAACTTGTCCAAACTTTTGATATATAGGCCCATATGTATTTCTCCTTCAGCCTAATCAAGAAATATTAAAAGGTAGAGCCTCAGAATTGTAATCGAGAACTAATTTTCAGATGCTTATCTCTGGTTGCCTTCTGATTAAACGTAATTTGAGGAAAATCAAAATGTCATATTATCTTTGCGGCTAAGCTTTTGATCAACATGTGAGATTATCTGCAGAAAGGGCTCCCCTTAGTGGTAACTTGAAGTCTCACACAGATAACTCAGAATCCAGAAAGGAATTTAGACCAGGTGCCTATTATCTTCAGGTTTTATTAATCCTTTGCCAGCTCACCTTTACTTTTAAAATTAAAGGCATATGCTTATATGAATAAGCTATGAGAATTGCTGAAGACCAGCTTCTAATATTTGCAGATCCTATGGTGGTATTGCTCAAGGCTTTGTAATTAAAGGATAAATTAATTTTTTAGAAAAAGAATCAGCAAGATGAATATACCTACATAAACAGGCACAAATTGCTGATTATTATTAGTGAGTACTTATGTCCAGATGATATTCCAGATCATGTTTTATTGCAAGAAAATGCTGTGACTTCTTTATCTATTAGACATTCTTGGAAATGTGGAGAGGGTTCCATCACTGACCAGCTTCCTTTTTCATTAAAGCTGCTGGAGATTCTGTATCTCCCACTCCCAAGTGAATAGGGTAGTTGGTTATGATTTTCTTTCTCAGCAGCATTCCTGTTTCTTTCATATGGGACACAAACATCCAGATAACCAAAAGATGGCAGCACAATTTTCTGTATCTCTTTGCTGCCACCCAGTGGTTGTATGGAAGCTACATGAACATTTCTTCATGGTGCAGTTAGCATCTAAGACAGTGTTTCTCAACCTTGGCAACTTGAAGATGTCTGGACTTCAACTCCCAGAATTCCCCAGCCAGCGAATGCTGGCTGGGGAATTC